AAAAGCTTCGTTCGTCTTCGGAACACAATTTAAGATATTTTGGATGAAAACCGGGAGGCTTGTGACTGTCCCATTGACTGCCAAGTAAATTACACTGTCAAGGTCCAGAAAAGTATGAAAGACCGAAGACGAACGAAGCTTTTAGGGGTTTGGAACGACATGGGGGTAAGTGATTAATAACAACATTTTCATTTTGGGGTGGAGTATCCCTTTAAAGAAAAGAAAAAAAAATCAGCAACCAGTATCAGAATCGGTCCATTTGCTTGTAAAAAATTTCCAATCGGAATTTGCCATGAAAAATAAGGATTGTGCATGCCTAGTTTGTGTAGATAGCCTACAATGGTTTTCTCAAAGCATCATAACTTTGACTGACTATTAAGAGGAAGTCCAGAGGCAGTGAGTACACTGGTCCACTTAAACAGATATCCACAGGTATACACACACAGTGTTATTGTGTGTATATTTTCAATGACAATGTATATATGGGTGCTGTCCAGCTGAACTGATTCTGATCGTAGTGGTGGGCCCTTGAAACAAAAATGCCAGGGTTGATTTTTTTTGTCCCAGTTCAGCCCTGCATGTGAAGCAAATATCTTTAAAAAAAAAATCTGTGTGGAGCATGCCCCGGACCCCCCTAGTTAAGGCAAGTTTTCTCTACCCTTGCAGTGTTCTTTTTTTTTTAACCCTTACCTGTTTGCATCCCTGTCTATCTAATGTTCTGTCTGTCTGGTCTGTGTTTCTGTCTGTTTCCAGTTCAGATTTTTAGTTGCACTGCCAACATTTTCATTTGCCCCAGTGCAGACAATTAATAATTATAAACAAATATAATAATAATAATAATTAATTTAAATGTATAACTTTATATTTTAAGTTATATTTTATTAATATTTTTTAACATTGTTTTATTCATTTTTCACACTTTTTTTTCACATTTTAATTGCTCTTTAGATCTGTCTATCTATCATTTAATTACATCTACAATTGCTATAGTGGTATCATTCAGTAGTCTCTAAACTTTGCCAGGGTCATGTGCAAACTCATCATAAAAACTCAAATCTACACTCGTGGTGCATCTGTTGTCTTTAAAGTTACATAGATTCACAGCCAGTTAGAAAGCATGACGGAGCCGTGACACACCCCTGAGTGACTGCCTCTTCTCTCCCATGTGAGCAAAGTGCTCATGGGATGTGGCTTTGCTGCCTGCTGGCTAAAACAGCGGCACCAGAGAGGCTGCAGGCTGTTGCTGAAGGTCAGCTGGTGGGCCTTCACCAAATACAGGTCAAGAGGTCAGGACAGGAATTCACGTGCCCTGTGCTATACAGCTGGATGATGAACAATCATCCACACAAAAATACACCAGTGTAACAGCAAAGAAACATATGTTTTATGTGATAAATAGAATCTTTGGATTCCTTGATGGTAATTTTAATAAATCAAGAGGAAAAAGCAACCAAACACAGCCATTGGGGTGCCCGAAGGGTCTGCTGTAATATAGTTTTCAAAGCCTTAATAAATTTTGAACAAACAAGATGCAACTTAAACATGAAATGAAGGATAATGCCTCAGTGTCTCAAGGCTAGAAGTTCAATTTCTGTGGATGTTTACTCACACACTTGCTTCCCCCCCCCACTTTTCTTTAACCGGCTCACAGTTATTGCCCCTCACACAAACTGTCACCCACTAAAGCAAAACCATTTTATAGATGTTTAAAGAAAGACAAAAGTCTAACCATCAACTTATCCTAGATAAAGCATGGGTATCATGAATCGAATCAAACTCCTTTATGCATTTGACAGACATAAATCGAGCCTACCTTCAGGTGTCTTTGTTTTTTAAGGATTACATGGTTGATAATCCCAATCCCAGCAGGTGACTGTGTCTGTTAGTGGCAAGTTTAAACTTTTCTGCAGACGTTCTGTTGGTTAAGCCTGTTTGTGAGGAGCACCATTAGTGAGAGAGAGACGTGCTAACTCTGAGTGTAAGCCCGTGTGCTCAAAATGTTTCAGATAGCTGCTGGTGCAACAAGAGTGACAGGCACAATAGACTCACTTGCTCTCTCATGCTTAAAATTAGTTGACTAGTGTCTGTATGTGAACATACACACACAGATGAGAGTGAACATTTCTGTAATTATAACATCCTTTGCAAAAAAAAAGGGTACTGTGGTGATACCATGGTATTTGATTTTTTGGTATATATTGTGCCATGGTACTGAATGATTGCCATACTCAAATACTATGGGTATTGACATGGTACTTCAAGGTATATCAAAGAATACAAGGTAATTACAATAGTACAGTACCATTTAAAATATGTTTTTTTCTTTTATTCAATAAGCATGCATGAAACTGATCAAAAGTGACGATTAGGACATTTATAACGTTATAAAATATTTCTATTTCAAATAAATGCTCTTCTGTTCATCAAGGAATCCTGGAAAAATGTATCACAGTTTCCACAATATTAATAATGATAATGAGAAGAATTTTTTTTTGACCATCAAATTAGAACATTGGAATGATTTCTGAAGGATCATGTGACACTGAAGACTGAAGTTACGGCTGCTAAAAATTCAGCTTTGTTATTACAAGAATAAATGATGAAATATAGAAAATAGTTATTTTAAGTTGTAAATATATCTGTGCAGTATACCTGGTCAGGGTTTTATTTAGTTGCCTTCCAAATCAGCTTTTACGTTTTTTTTTTCTTACTAAATTGTCAGTCTTAAATCTGCGGTTGCACTTTCTTTGCTTCATCCTATTAATGGTTGTTGCTGATGATTAAACAGTGATCTTAAATCTTAACAATAAAATAATATTTTTTTTAAAAATCCCTTGTTATTTTCCCTTTTATGTTGGAACAAATATATAAAAATGTAACTATATAGAACTGTAATTGTGATTGATTTTTAGACATTTGACTCATTGGAGAGAAAGTAAAATACTCGAAGAGGTTACAATGAGGAGAGATTAAAATACATAAATTTTCATATATTTATAGTATTTATTTTCTAAAATCTGAAGCCAAAGCTTATGGGTTTTTCATGGTATTTTTGTTAAAATATTTTTACTGAGATCTCTAAGGTAGAATGAGAATGTTTTTTACTAGCATGCGCCTGAAGATATCTTCAGCACTGCTGATGTACGCTGCCATCTAGTGTTAGAGACCTTAAGTTGCACATCCTATCACAATCATCTCTCATAAACCCTTGAAATTGGCCTCATGAGCTGCAGTGATTAAAACAGCTCAAACTGTTTAATCTAACTTTTGTGTATTTATGTTTTGCTAATTTCTCAATTTAGCAAAATTAACTTAAATATAAAAAATAATATCTCTGAATGGACTCAAATTCACCCCCTAAATAATCACCAGATTAAAAAAAATCAAACATTAAAAATTGGTACAAAACACAACAAATTCCTCAAGATTTGAGAGACAGTGAGTAAAAGAGAGAGGAAAAAGTAAAAGGGAAAAATCACCTTACCCCTGTTCTCTCATAGGTCTTTTCATCTATCTTTCTTGCCATGCAGTGTTGTTCTCTGACGAGGCACTTTGTGTTGGTCCCAGGAGGAAAGAATTGAAGGAAGTACGTAACACTTCCATCAGTTCTGATAGAGTGAGAGCAGCAGCTCTGGGAGCCACAGACTTCACTTCTGAACAATAGTCTACAACAACAAAAATACATGTCTGCACAGGGACTTCATCCAATCCTTACATTTGGCCTTGATGTCTGGAGAGGTTTGTTTGGGGTTCTTTCCCCCATTTCAAAGAAAATTCATATCTCTGTGAACCTTACAGTTAATTCAATGAAATCCAATCCAAATGCAGTTCAGATAAAAAGAAGAGGGCTTGTTTTGGTTATTTTACCTAAAAATAATAACACATGTACTAATGCTTCACTAAAGGGATAGCTCACCCAAAAACTCAGGTTTGGAGCAACATGAGGGTGAGTAAATGATGACGGAACTTTAATTTTTGGGTAACATTCATTTACGTGTAAATCACAATGTCATAGTTGGACTCATAGAATGAGAGTCCAAACAGCTGATAAAAACATTTAACATCTTGTAAAGTGAAAAGCTGCGTTTTTCTAATAAACAAATCCATCAAGGCGTTTTAACGTTCTAACTGTTGCTTCTTGCAAAAATACAAATCCATAATCCATAATTTGTGTATTATAAACATGCAGCTTTTCGCTTCACAGGATGTTAATTGATGGACTGCAGTCGTGTGGATTATTTGTGGATTATTGTGATGTTTTTATCTCATTCTGACGGCACCCATCCACTGCAGAGGATCCACTGGTGAGCTTCGATGAAGAAACAACTCATCTCCATCTTGGATGGCCTGAGGGTGAGTACATTTTAAGCAAATTTTAAATTTTGGGTGAACTGTTTCTTTATTAAGCCATCATAGCCTGATTTTCTTCAAGCAGATAGACATTGTGGCTATATATATATCCAGCCACTAGGTGGCTCTGTTCACACAGAAACCTATTGAAGTTCATGTTTACATTCTCTTTCTCCATCTGTCTGTCTCTATTTATCTCCATGTTCCCTTGGCACTGGACTTCCAATTTTAAAAAGCTACAAATTTAAGATTAGTACAGCCAGTTCTAACATTGAAAAGGAGTAATGCTTTTGAAAAAATGGGCCGCTTGAAAGCACTGTAGTTATACAGTCGGAAAAGATAATAACAAAAAACAACATTCAAGTATAATCTTTTTGCATGCCAGCATTGAATGCCATCGAACTAATTTAATCATGTCTTTAAACCATCTGTAACGTGCCATTTTTTTCTAGCAATTTGAAGGACAAAATAAACTAAAATGGAGCTGCAAAAATTGCATATAGTATAATTAGTATATATGGGGTGACCACTGTGTTTCTCAGGGGGGAGTCTGTCTCAGTCTATATGACTGACTCAATCAGGTCCAGTAGTCTGCCCTGCTGCATCAGGAGGGGGAGCCCTGCTAACCTGCTACTTATATTAAACATTCACTTAGAATGAATTGCATCGTAGCGGCCGCGTACCCAAGAGAACGAGCGATAAATCTCAAGGGTTTGTTGTTTAATTGGTGCAATCTATGAAATTTTTGCGGAGTGCTGAAATCGTACCCGCTACAGATAATGGAGCTCTGTGGGGGTCTTAAATCGAAGGGATTAATCAATCGTTCCAGACTGAAAGGAACAGGGAGTGTGTTGTAGGAAGAGAGATGGAGTGGGGGTGGGGAAGATAGGATCAATCCATTTAGTCCTGTCTTTACTCATCCTGCCTGCAGTCTTCCAGCCTAGAGCGGGAAAGAGCCACTGTCTACAAATCCCACCAGACTCCCAACCACATAGAGCGGCTAAAAATAGCCCACTGATTTGACACATGCAAAGACTTTATAGCAAAATCTGAGCTCAGTCCATATGAGCTGATATGGATATGATCTCATCCTGTCACACCTGAGAGATCAGATCAATAATATCCTCTGAATGGACTCAAATTCACCCCCTAAATCATCACCAGATTAAAAAAAATCAAACATTAAAAATTGGTACAAAACACAACAAATTCCTCAAGATTTGAGAGACAGTGAGTAAAAGAGAGAGGAAAAAGTAAAAGGGAAAAATCACCTTACCCCTGTTCTCTCATAGGTCTTTTCATCTATCTTTCTTGCCATGCAGTGTTGTTCTCTGTCGAGGCACTTTGTGTTGGTCCCAGGAAGAAAGAATTGAAGGAAGTACGTAACACTTCCATCAGTTCTGATAGAGTGAGAGCAGCAGCTCTGGGAGCCACAGACTTCACTTCTGAACAATAGTCTACAACAACAAAAATACATGTCTGCACAGGGACTTCATCCAATCCTTACATTTGGCCTTGATGTCTGGAGAGGTTTGTTTGGGGTTCTTTCCCCCATTTCAAAGAACTAATTTAATCATGTCTTTAAACCATCTGTAACGTGCCATTTTTTTCTAGCAATTTGAAGGACAAAATAAACTAAAATGGAGCTGCAAAAATTGCATATAGTATAATTAGTATATATGGGGTGACCACTGTGTTTCTCAGGGGGGAGTCTGTCTCAGTCTATATGACTGACTCAATCAGGTCCAGTAGTCTGCCCTGCTGCATCAGGAGGGGGAGCCCTGCTAACCTGCTACTTATATTAAACATTCACTTAGAATGAATTGCATCGTAGCGGCCGCGTACCCAAGAGAACGAGCGATAAATCTCAAGGGTTTGTTGTTTAATTGGTGCAATCTACGAAATTTTTGCGGAGTGCTGAAATCGTACCCGCTACAGATAATGGAGCTCTGTGGGGGTCTTAAATCGAAGGGATTAATCAATCGTTCCAGACTGAAAGGAACAGGGAGTGTGTTGTAGGAAGAGAGATGGAGTGGGGGTGGGGAAGATAGGATCAATCCATTTAGTCCTGTCTTTACTCATCCTGCCTGCAGTCTTCCAGCCTAGAGCGGGAAAGAGCCACTATCTACAAATCCCACCAGACTCCCAACCACATAGAGTGGCTAAAAATAGCCCGCTGATTTGACACATGCAAAGGCTTTATAGTGCAATCTGAGCTAAGTCCATATGAGCCGATATGGATATGATCTCATCCTGTCACACCTGAGAGATCAGATCACGACTGCACCCATGTGACCAAACATGTTAGCATTAATAAACTATCAGAATGTAACAGTGCTGATCACAGGCAGGTGAATATAACGCTGGATCATGTGGAGGAGGATGGGACTGTGCTAATGTGTCGTCAAGAAAGGAGACCGAGAATTTAGAGAATGAGAGCTGCCACACAGTGAATTAAAGTGGCAATAGTCCAAGGAGAGAATAGCAACCACTAGATATGTAGTTGCAGCATAATAACAACATCTAGATACAGACTGCTTGCCTCTGCAAAATCATTGATAGGATGTTTGGGTAGTTGCTGAGGCATTCTGGTTGTTAGCTAGGGCATTGTTATTATATTA